GTTGAAGGTCGTTATAGAGAGGCTGCACTGTGGTAGTAATCAGGCCAAAGGGCTAGAACTCAGATGGCCCCTGGGTCGGAAAAGCACAGAGATATAGTAGTCAAATGACAATGTCATGTTACCGCCACCTCCTCTTTGAATGCTTAGACATTAATTGTTCTCAGTTTCAGTTTTAATAAGAGTTTTATGGCACTTGCAACACAATAAGGTCATATTAGTGCCGGAGACTAGAAGTGCAACAAGAGAGTAACAGACACAAAAAAGAAGGGAGGGGAGAAAAGAACGACAGATGTTCGATAGGAAAGAAGGAGCAGACCACACCAGAGTACCCACCAACCATTCGCACAGAGGTAGGTGTAGATGACAGATAGAAAGGAGATGGCTTTATTACAAATTACTAATAGACAACATCAATACACTGCATTTCAATTAATTATTTCCCTCACAGACCTGAACATTCTTAACCCTATCCGCACATAATGTTTTGCTATCGTATCCATACGACGTGGGGAATTCAGTGCCCCCCCACTTTCCAAAATGGAAATTTACCCGTTAATCCGATCCGTACGCTTTGCATAGCAGTCTGTCAAAATGATATTTTTAAGAAACACTAAAAATACCAAAGAGATCTTTGCACGACAGGAATTCTAAAATGTGAAGAATTCAACCAAGGGGTACAAAATGACCCCAGGGCGCACGGATAGGGTTAAACATTTTAAGCTACTTGGATAGCTTTCAGTGGAAGCTGCCATTTTACAGGTGCTAGAACACAAACAAAACTGACAAGATCTTTCACTGTCTTAGCCCCGTGCTCCCACTTCTACGAAAATCTGTGTTGTAAAGGTTATTGTTTTTTGTTTTGTTTTTGTAAAGTGTTTTACGGCGCTCGCAACTAACTGCATAAGGTCATATGAGCGTGCGGGACACACCTAATATTTTCAGTTGGTAGGAAATTTTGAATTTTGCCCGGGTGGCGGCTGAAGCCTACTCTAATCGATTTTAGACCACCGAGGGATCTTTAACGTGCGCAACTTGCACACGGGCCCTCCGAGATTTTTCGCCCTTGTCCGAGAAGGCTAGGTGTAGATCTTTCCTACCAGAAGATCAGGGGTGTGGCAGAAAGACAGCAGTAAGAAGGAGCCAAGGAGTAGCAGTAGAAAGGCTGCAGAAAGAGTCAGGAGCCCAGAGGAGGGGGCAAAGGAAGTGAGGGGGTGGGGGCAGAAAGTGGAATTGAAAGCAGACAACAGAACATTGCTAGAGAGCTGGAAAGGAGGTGAAAGGAGACAATTTTAGAGAAGAAAATTTTTCAGTCGCTACCCGGATTCGAACCCGGGACCTTTGAATGAGAGGCCAACACCTTAACCTCTAGGCCACGAGAGCCCCCTGTAAAGGTTAGGCAGTTCACCAGCATTGCGCACAAGAGACCGGAGTTTGTTCTAGTAAGTGTTTTACGGCACTTGCAACACAATAAGATCACATAAGTGCCAAAGATTAGAGGTGTAACAAGAGAGCAACAAACACAAATAGAAGGAGGAGAGATAAGGACGATAGATATTCGATAGGAAAGAAGGAGCAAACCACACCAGAGCACCCGCCAATCACCCTCAGACCTGAGTTTGATTCTCATACGAGAGGAATATCTTTGTTGAGTATAATTATGTATCTCCAGTATGTGTCGAAAGGGCGGTAAAAAAAACACTTACATCTAAAAAAAAAATTTAAAAAAAAAACTTCTTCGAGATTTGCTAATGAGCTAACTGACTGTAACACTAACACCACAGATGCTGGTAAGTACAGACTTGCGACATATTGTGACGCATCGTGATGAGATCAGGTGCTCGTCAAAATAATGAAATCGAAGAAATCAGCATTTTTTGGTCGTTTGGATTTTTTTTTTCTCTCGAATTTTTACTTTTTAGCTGAACACCTTGTATGTCCATTCAAAAACACTCTTATGTACAGTAAAATCTGAAAAAAACAAACGTTGATTAAAGGCACGAAAAATGTAAATTCGCTGTTTCCCAGGACTCTTGAGCTAAGGAAGTCACAAAACTTTTTAACTTCTGAAACCAGGTGACCACATCCTTCCTTCGCAAATATCTCGACTTCTATTTAAGATAAATGGATAATATATTTTTTTTTTATCAAATGCAAGGCAAATGAACAACCTTTAAGATGATACCAATAACTCCAGATACCCCAAAATTGACGAGCGCCCGACTCCACCGTGTCGTGACAAATATTTCACTGAGAACTAGGAGACAGTACACCCTAGAGTGTGCATAGTGTCAAAACGCAGGTTGGTACACGGCCGGAGAAATTCTTTGTGGGGACAAGCACAGAGAGACAGTGAGTGGGAATGAACCTGAAACCTCGCTCCTCTACAGAAAACAAAACAAGCCGTGTGCAACTTTTTAAGATACGATAGTTTGGTCCCCTTCCCTCAGGGAATAATTACACTACAAGTAACCCAGATCTTCCAACCAGGACAATCAACATTGTCTTCTCATTTTTCTCTTTTTTACGTATCTTTTTTTTTATAGTAGAGGGTTTTACGGCGCTCGCAACTGCATTAGGTCATATGAACGCTAAGGGTTGGGTGTCAACAAAGAAGTCTTTACAGGGAATCAGACTTAGACTGCTCACCTCTCTTGCTTCGACTATCAAGGCACCCCGGAAATGGCAGGTCACAAGAGAGTGACAAACATGCAAAAGAAGTAGAGGAAAATGACAATAGTAAGGATCAGGAAAGAAAAAAGCAGCAGTTCCCTGTTGTAGATCAGGCACAGTTATGAGCGTGACATGAGTCAGCGCATTTACAATTCTACTGTGCTTGAACGAGAAATGTCCGCTCTTTGGGAATGGCCTAAAGACACTACAGTCAGTGGCACTGTTCCGGGGGGGGGGATTACATGTCAGCCACCTTCTTAACAAAAAAACAAACAAACACACACACAAACAGACTCCACCCACAAGGCAGGCTGAGATTGTGGACACTAGCCACGGAACCCCCCTCCAAACCCGTCACACATACTTTTCTGCATATAATAAATTTTAAAAACTCGAAATATTCAAACTAGACCTGCTGCAGGAAAAGATCTCCCCCATAGACTTACGGGCTTTGTTCTCCCTACTATTTGCTAATCCAGTCTTGAAAGTTCATTATTTTTCTGTTTCTTCAGCATCTGCGTCCTTGAGGAGCAAAACTAGAAAACAGAAAAGGTAATTTCCGATACGAAAACAAACTAAGATCCTCAAAGACGTATATACACATGTTGTTTTTTTGTGTGTAATGGTTGGCAGCTAAGTTACTCTATTCTTTCTAGGAATACACAATATGAATGCTGTTTAGAAGCTTCACACAGATATTTGGTCGCTTTTAAGAAGGACAAGCGTGCTAACCCAGATTTCGGGAGTTTCCAGAAATCTTTACCACCACCGAAAGTGGACATTGCCCTACGTATAGGAGAAGTTTGGTTTCATTGGTATGTATATTTGTTTGGTTGTAGAGAAAACTCTCCTTGTCTTTTTAAAGAACGAAGTGACTATTTCTCCGAACGATCGGGAAAATAAAGTTGAACTCTATTTCCCCAACGGTTTTTGATCTCGAGATT